GTTTAGCGAATTGGACAACATGTCTCTCCAACATAACCACGACCATAAAAACGCATTATCCCATATCCTCCATGTCTGATTGATGCGTCAATTTGCTCTACACAAGTGGGCGTAACTTAAGACGGTATCACAATTGCCTTGAGGACCGTTTTTCCTCCACTTCCTTGCCAGTCAGCTTGTCTTCTTAAAAGAAAGCACAACGGCAAAATCAGCGCCTCAGAAGTTAGACTTCCTATTAAGCGTACAATATGCCAACAATACTAAACTATTCAATCAATAACATTATTATCATATATATATCAATGTTACTCAACTAAATGTTGCCTAAGCCTATACAACTCTTTATCCCAACGATGTATATCTTCCAACTGTATTCTCCCAATAATCAATGCTTGTAACTTATAAACCATTATTTCGCAACTTTGCAAATGCTGATTTCCCATATACATACGTGTCCAACTTATCTCTTATCCTGATGACGAAAAGATACAAGAATGTCAAACTATTATCCTTATCTGGTTCATCGTCAACTTGGCATTATCGTCCGTTGGCCAGTTAAGATGAAGAATTTCTCCAATCCACCTCCTCCATTGTGCCAAATTGCAGAATACTCATGTTCCTACCCAATTAACAATATTGGCGTCAATATAACCTCCATACTAAGGTGTTGCCATACTATCGACATGTAGACACTTGTAAAACTGGCGGCTAACTAAGCTTACATTGCAAGTCGGTATATTTGTCCAAACACGGCCATCTACTACTCATGATCAGATTAAGTAGGCCTGAGAATTAGTTGATGTGTATGTTTGCCCTGCCCATAGTCTCTAAGTGCCCCTCCAGACTGAGTGATAGAGCTTAAATTTCTACGTGGATGTCACATTTTAACTCGTCAAAAAGTAATCCTCATTAGTCATTTGCTGATCCATTAATTTGCTAAATATATCCTACATTCAACTCTCTCCCTCAGTTGTCTGTATAAGTGTCACTAAACCGAAAGTATCATATTCCCATCTCAGTGGAAAAAATCCCTCTTCCTAATACTTCTTTCTTGTTTAGCTTTGGAGGATCGTAAGCTGCGATTATCCCTTCGATGCATTGAACAAGTGATTCCGCTATCCACTTCTCCTATTCTGCTTTGCTTGCACACACTTTAAGTTGCTTCTTAAATCTGGTCTTGAGACCCTCAGTTTGGTCCTTTTCCCTAACGTTCATATGCATCAGCATCGCTTGAATGGACTACCACTTTCTCTTGTGACCTGATCTAGTCATGGCAACCACTAAATACACTCTTCCTATCTGACTTCAAAAGTGATAGCCTATTTTCATGTAAATATCCAAAAATCCCAGTCTAAACTATCTTTAGCTTCTTCTGGAAACGTGTTCATTGAGGTAATTAGTTGACTAGAATCGTTGCCCTCAGACGAAAATGTAGAATTCAGACCTCATTTCAAGGAGTGTTCAACTTTGGCATCAAAAGAAAACTGCCTAAATGAGTACTCATTATTTTGCTTCGACTAAAAGTATTACATTTATTAGTTACCGTTGTGCAATACGCTTCTTGTGATCTATTTGGTCGTGTTGCCAGGACATCCTGTCCAGAGTCCTCTCTCAGATTTCCTGCTTTGAACCGGGCACTTGGTAGATTCCCGGAATTAGTAGTAGCATCATCAAGCCACCATTCGTCAGAGAGACTTGTGCCAAGAAATCATCGGAATCACTAGGGGAAGGTGCGCCAGGCGACAGGACCAATTTGCGAAAACAAGATAATACCAAGTGCCGAACAGCGAAGGAAGACTGCGACCAACGGACCGGCTGCGCTAGTCTAGTCTTGGAATGAGTAAAATGCCCACATTTTCCAGTTTCTATGCCTTTTCGTTTGTACGCACAGAAGTTGGGCTGACCAGTTTTGATGCTGGATTTGACCGAACCATCCGATGTCTTGGCCCATTCATTATTCGTTAAAAGCGATAAACACGCAAGCCTGCCACGCAAACAACTGCCTCTACTGGAATAGGATGAATGAGAGTTGTAAAACAATTGTAAACTGCTCAAATTGGTGGGAAATTGTCTTTTTACCCCGTTTTCTGGCAGCCACGCTCAATTTCGGTGAGTCTCTCGACAGACGGCCCAACTGCTGCTTGAGATCCGGATCAACCGGATCAACCGGATCAACCGGATCAACCTGATCAACCTGATCAACCGGATCAACCGGATCCACCGGATCAACCTGATCAACCGGATCAACCGGATCAACCGGATCAACCTGATCAACCTGATCAACCTGATCAACCGGATCAACCGGATCCACCGGATCAACCGAATCAACCGGAACCACCGGATCCACCGGGTCAAACCAGAGGTACCACCAGAAAAGCCAGTCAATGCGAGCAATCCGACCTCGTCTTCACGTCAGACAGAGCCGCATAAGCCTCGTCGTCATGCCGCCTCACGCAACCAATGCCAAAGCATGAGCCGCACGGAGCCACTAGTTTTCGTCGTAGGTACAATGTCCCTTCCGATTGGCCAACCACGGCATCACCATCGCGGTTTTCCGTTGCCGCGCAACTAACAGCAAGCCTCAAGTCGGTCAAGTCTGCAAGTCGAAGTGTCTCCGATGGCGCGGATGGGCCCCGGTGCGGTCCGAGAGAAGAGGCCACAGACCAACAGAGCAGGTGGCAGTAAACGACAAAAGGCAGGAAGCCTGGCGTCCATTCCTTGCGTTTGGGGTCGCCTTAAAAGTGAGCTTCGCGATGGGAACCACTCGAGACTGGCAGTATTTCTT